TTCAGGCAACCTGTGGGACTAGGGGCAGACAAGGTCATGACTATTCACAGAGCTTCCTTGGCTCCGCTCCAGCCAAGGCTGCTGGAAGACTGTTACCTGCAGAGGAAAAAGCAAACAGCGAGTAATCGCTCTGCAGATGACATCTGCTCCCATGGCACAGAGACAGTGCTCCAGCTTCCCACACAGGCCTCTACTTCCTGGGCTACATCTCTCTGCAGCTGAGCTTTCTGCTGTTTCCCAAATCAGGAACCTCTGGGAACCACAAATCTCCTCTAGATACTCCCACTGTACCATCTTGCTATGGTTTGTAGGCATCTAGCTGCCAGTGAGAACACTCGGTGTCGTTTGCCTCCTCCTGTTCTTGTTGACAGTCCCTGTTACTGTCAGGAAGCCTGGGGGTACTGCGGCGGTGCAATGTTGCAGCTACCTTCCAGATGAGCTCTTGGAGCAGCATGGAACATACTGACACAAACAGCTGCCCCCTCTGCCTTCAAACCTTAAAGGATTTGGCTGGGTGGTTGTTGGGCAGGCTGGATGGTGACTCTGCAGTTGTCTTCTCTTTGCAGAGATCAAGTCAGCTCTGAAGGCCACAGTAAGTCTCACCTATGGGCTAGACAAAACCGAGAGAGCTCACAAAGCAGCACTCTGCTCTGGGGTAAGAGGGTCCTTTGTCATCTTGATTTCATCTAAACACAAGTCAAAAATGGATATGCTCAGAAAAAAAAAAACAAAAAAACCCAACAAAAACTAAGATCCAGATCACAAATGTCAGGAACATCGTAAAATGCAAGCCAGCCTGCCACTGATCAAAACCATCCCATGTCCTGCAAGCCTCCTCCCAGGCAGTCCAGCCTCACCCAAGATGACACGTTCTCTAGCCACTAATACTCAGTTGCCACCAGTAAGGGCCCAGCCAGAAACCCAGCAAAGGCCACAGTGTCCTCGAGGTCACCAAGTCGCCAGCAGCAGCGTGGATCAGAGGGTCTCGCTGTACATGACGCAGGGGCTGGTTTCCTCGCACAGTTCCAGCTGCACACTGGAAGCAAACCAGCGTTTGGCAGAGCCTAAGCTGTAGTTGAGGGTGGTCCTGTAAATGTTCTTGGCGCGTTTAGGAAAAATTATGGTCGTGCTCTGGAACCTCAGCGGCTTTTGGCGAGGCTCGAAAATCAGCTGGGACTTGTAGTTCCGCCAGGTGCAATTGGGGGCGGCGATGACCGTCTCGCTGTAGGTGGTGACAGTGGGGATGGGGCTGTAGAAGATGTCATCCCGGTAGTGCTTCTCGGAGTCATACTTCACCTCCGAGTTGCACCTGCAGAGAACACCAAGGCATCAGCAATGGGGCTCAGGTAGCAAACAGAGGGGTAGGGCTCTGACCCTGTGAGATTAGCAACTTTTGTCACAACCTACTGTTGGGTCTGAGCGAAGAGCTGGGTACCCGTCCTGGTGTATCTGAAGTCTGCAGACACCAGGACAGAAGCCTCGCAGCTGGGGCAAGGCCAGAGACTGAGGAATGGATGTTCATCTATGGACTCCACAGCAAGAGCATGAAGCCCCAGGCACATTCTTGACCAAGTGTTGGTGCATGCATTTTTAACAGGCCCAGCCACGCAACATCCACTTAAAATGCTGCGTGCCCCTGTGGAACCAAAGTCCACTGGACAGTGACTTGTGGTAGGTCTCACCATGCTCCCTACTACTAGCGCTAGGCCTGGAAGATGACACTGCACCAGTGGTCAGGCTGAAGAGACCCTGCTGGTGGCCTACGGGCACGGACTGTCACACTGAAGGCAAGGGAACCTACTTGCCAGCACGGTGAGTTTGCTCCTGCTTTCACAGTCCTTGCTGTCCATGCAAGCCCTAGTGTGGCAGGAGAATAATGCTATCAAGATGGTTGTCACAGTGGCACAATCATGGTTTTGGGACATCTGGAGAGTTGCTAAGGCTGTGGGGTTGTCTCTTTTTCTTTACACTGTTGTGCCACCAGAGCACAAGAGAAGCACAAGCTAGACAAAATTAAAGATGCTGGGAGAGGAAGGCGAGGGTGCTGGTTGAGGCCTACAGAAAATCCAGGTAATGGTCATGTAACAGACAAAATCAGGAGATATTGTGTGCCATGACTGTCAAAATCCAAGCCATGGGACCTGAGGAAGCAGCAATGTTAACAGTTGTTGTGACAGTTGTTGTGTAAGTCACAAACTGTGGGTTCTCTGCTCCCCAAACCCTCATTTGGCAATCAGCAGCCAAGGAACGTGCAGCTCCACATAACAAAGATTAAAAGCTGGGTGTGTGCTTGTCATTACCTTCACCCGGAGCGGGGTGGACTGTGTGTGCTCTGCGTGTAATCCGAGCTGCTCTAATGTATTTTGCACAGCTAAGGTGTAAGCAAGTCATTCAGCGCACATAAAACACGACTCCACTGTAATCACCATAAAACCTGCCTGCCGGCAGTTCCTCAGCAAGCAGGGATTTACTGGGGTGCATTTCCCAGAGGAGGAGGGAGTGGGAATCGCATTCACACTCTTCCCACTGCTCACGCCCCGGGCTGTGTGTAACTGTGCTCCGCTCCGGGTGCACGTTCCACACCAGCAGCAGAAACAGGGAAGAGCAACAGACCAACATCTTTCCACAGGCCATACCCTCCAGCCCTGCAGGAGGTCAGGACATCTCAAATGCTGACTTGAGGGGCCACCTCCTGAGGAGCAGATAATTCTGATTCTGGAGCTAGTCTAATGTTGGCCTGTGTTGCAATTGCTAATAAAACAGGTGCCAACAATAACAGTGTTGCTTCTTCTGCGGACACAAGTCAGCACAGAACAGGACAAAGACAGGTGTAGGCCATCAAGTCATCAGGCTACAGGTGGTAACGGTTTTCTCTGATAGCTTTGGCTTTGATCTGGCCTTTAAAGGGAAGCTGCCTTTCCTCCATAGCTTCCCCTAGTCCTTGCCTCTTCTCATCTCTGCTCCTGTCTGTGTCTTTTATTTGCAGTATTGTCTTCTCATCTATCAGTCCCTTCCTTTCCACTGAAATAATGGTGATTCCCATTTGTAAACACTTTATTTTCTTGTGCCCCCCCCCCCCCCTTTTTTTTTTTTTTTTCAGATGGAAAAGGACAGAAATTCCCCATGCCCCCTCTCTTTTCCCCCAATCCCGTCTGTACCTAATTTCCTGCATGGGCTCAGGGCTGACCTCAATGCTTTCTCCAAAAAACACAGGATACATTCGAGGCCTCATCTCTGTCATGGATGGGTTCAGGAGCAGGTAAGGCATCTGTGGGGAAGAAGAGCACAGGGAATGTTAGGACATAACAGGAGGCTAATGTGGCTCACACAGTGCTGCTGGCACAGATTGCATGGGGTTGAAAAGGTCTCCAGGTGGCTGAAAAGTCCTTGGTGTTTTTCCACTTTGCATGACGCAGCTTCTGCATCTGCATGTACCAGAACCACAGCCGATTTTCTATAGTTTCCCAGTTCTTAGGCTACCTCAGGGCTGATGAGATGCACTGAAAGTAGCTGAGGGTACTGAGAAATTGGCTTGTGCTGCCTCTGTGATTCGGTTCTGGCTGGGGTGAAGGAGTGATGCTGGAGCTGTGGTCCTGTTCCTACTGCCAGGGCTCGGTAAGAGGTGCCAGGGATGTGTCCTGCATGTCCTAGCCGTGCTCCCCAGTCCTGCCCTGGGCTGGTGTTAACAGGCAGGGCTGTGCTGACCTATTCAACAGCAGGAGCTCACATTGCTGAGCTCTGCTTTGCTCTAGTGGCTTGGGCTTCCTGCCTCAGGGCAAGACAAAAAATGTTGCTGCTTCATCTGAATTCTCCAAGTCCTTAAATTGTGTCCCAAAGGCACAAAGCTGCTTAAGTCTTTCCATACTGAAATGTCCCAGTATTTTACTACTATGTTGAACTGAGTAACAATGAGTAAAATGGATAAGCCCTCTTTTCATCAAATATTTCTGTTCCTTTGCCTGCCCTGCCTCCAAACCACAGTATTTGCATAGGTCTGGGGAAGAAGGAGAGGGGAAGAAAAAAATAAAAAGTTAAGATATGCTCACCCTCACTTCCAAACACCAGCCAAAAGGCTAAATTCATTCCTGGGTTTCTTTCAACATTCCTGACAGGGAAGGGCAGGGAGCAGTATTTCTGGTCATAAATAAAGCTCTTTGCTTCTGAAATATGAGTTGTTTAGATTAGACAGGCCAGACAGTTCACAAGGGTGCAGAACTCAAGTTTATAACAGGCTACATATGGCCCAAACTCCTTCTGAAGGCATCTTGTGCATGAGGAGACATTGCTTGGGTGCAGCATGGATGCGTGGGCTTGGGCAGCCATGGCCTGGGGAGGTTCAGCTGCAGAATGATGCAGATTGCTTTAACTAATGAAGGAAGAAAGGCTGGCAATGTGTCCCCTTCTGCAGGGGATGTTTTTCCTGCTTTTCCTGATGCAAAAGAGCAGGAAGTCAATCATCCGAGACCTCCATTCCTCCAGTCTAGCTGAGAAGAGTCACTGGGTTCACAAGTTCCCAGGGAAGATGAGGAGAAACACCCAGCAAGACAGCCAGACAACACACGTTCCCTGCCCAGGCAGGGTCATGACTGATCATACAGGCCCCTTTTCCATAGGAAACTAGGCTGAAATAATCCAGTGCTGAATTTTTCAAAATGCTGCTTAGATAAGGCCAGATGTAGAAAATGCTTCCAGATTATCCAGTAGCAGCTTAGTACTAAGAGGGTGGTGGTGTTTTAATATTCCTGGACATATTTGACATAATCAAAACTCCAGGTGAGAATCTGTTCTCTTTACACTGTGCCCACTTAAGGAAAGGACTTGTCCAAAAGGCTGTAGGTTTTGCTCTTGTTTGTGGAGAAGGCAGGAAAATCCTCTCCATGCTCCTCTCTTTGCAAAGGTCAGGCCAGCTCGGCAAAGGTGTTTCCAGCTTTCCCAGAGCAAATATTGCATTCGCACAGGGCAGAAAGGTGGACTTCAGTCATAACATGAAGAGCAGACCTAAAGGTATGAATAGCCTTATGGCTCTTACTGGAAAATATCTGAATGTCCTATTTTCACAGACTAAACAGTGGAAAAGAAGAATGTCTAAAGCAATAGTCCAGCTCTAGTAATGCATAGCCAAGTGGAGGGCCAGCTTTCGCAAGAGCAATGCACAAACAGGCAGTGGTTGTGACTTCCCATTGCAAAGGACTTTTGCAACTGCTATTTCAGCTACATGTCGGAATTGCAATCCTACTGAACCTGTGCTTTGCCTCTCCAGGCTGCCCCAGGAATTACTTGGATTGCACCCCCACCAACCTAACCAGCTTCAAACTCTCATCACAAAGTAGTGCTGGCTTAAAAAAAAAAAGCCAGTAATGCATTTTCTAGGTAGACAGGCAAACTGGCATCAGCTTCAGATCTGCAGGATTGTATTGAACAAGTTAGAAAGCTGGGACAACAGCAGAGATTGGCAAGCCAAAGCCAGCACCTTCTGCACATGCTCGAGACTCTTATGGATCCACACTTATCTACCATGAGTAGTATCATGCTGCAAGGTGGGAAACCTTGGAAGCACCTGGAATTCTGTACATGGAAGAGGTATGTAGTCTACAAAGCACAGTCTAAGACTAGAGATGTTCTATAACACACTGTGGACTGCTCACCAAATGAAATGAAATTCCTTGCAGAGGGAAAGGGTCACTAAACAGTGAGCCTGGGTCCTGCAGAGCAGCGCTGGACAGGATCTTCAGATGAGGTTTGTTTTGCTCCCAGTTCTGGCATGCCTGCTCCTGAATCCCATCTGCACTTGGGAAGCAGAGAACAGGGGACATGAGCTCTATGAAATTTCCTCTTTGGGGCTGAATTGTTCTACGGTTGGCACCTGCCAAAAACTGGCTTTTTGGCAAAAGTTTGATTTGACAGCAGCTCCTTCCAATCTGTTTCAAGACAAAAACAGAGCCAAAAAACTCTGCCTCTGACAAATAAAAAGTGACTTTTTCTTGACAGGGGTGGCAGAGAGAAGAGAAACACTTGAGTGCTGAATTTCCTACAGAAAAGGATGATCCTTGGCTTGTTTCCAGCGACCACTTGGCGATCTCCGGACACTCTTACATAAGGTCAGTTCCTTCATCGTCCTGCAGTGCAGATGGGTCAGGAGCAGAGCTTGGGGGACACTTCTGCAGGTCCCTTGTGGTGAACAGGAGGAATCCGAGTGTCCTTAGAGCAGCCTGCACATAAGTGACCCCCAGCTGGGGTCCATCTATGCAAAGAACAAACCCTAAGGTGTGAAAGGCTGTAACTGGGGTCTAACTCATCTATTCCTTGTAGACAGGAGCTGTGCTGCCATTTACCAGAGGCTCCACATGCAACTGGGTAACTTCCACCATGCTCGTCAGCTCTGCAAAAACCAAGGGAATAGCAAGGGACTCTCACTGGACATTAAAGGAAGTCCCAAAAGCGCACATTATGTCCTCAAAACCAAGGCGGGGGAGCAGAATTAAGCAGGAAACTTATCAGCATTTTCTTTTCTGGTACATAAATTGTCTCAACCAGCAGAGGGTTAAAATATTATTTAAAAAAAAAAAAAAAAGTTGAGGTGATTTCTTGTTTGGCTGCATTTTTCCCTCTGTCTTAACTCTGATGCCTTTCAGGCATGTAAAGGCCTGGGCAGCTAAGCTCTGCTTTTTTTCACATAGTGTATAGATAAACACCCATAAAATAGGCCACTGAACAGGTACTCAACCTACTGCCACTAGCAGCATGTCCTTGATGCTGACATAAGTACTATGGGGGTCTCCTCGCTCTCAGGTGGACGTGTGCCCTTCAGTTCTGTCACTGCTTCATTTGTGCCAGGTGTGCCACTTTTGTGGTTGGTTCTCAGGGGGTTTTTAGACCTCAGAGTTCTGAATGACAGCAAAAATCATGCAATGGAAAGAATAACACCCTTTTTATTCCTAATAATCATTCAGACTTGGACTTTGGGTTTTGCATGGTTAAGATGCTTTTTATTGAGGGCATTTTAAAAGAAAGAAGGGAGATCCACCAATTGGTAAATAAAGTTAAGGCAAAAAAAGAGTCATGGAAGTGGCTTGCAGTACCTTGTGTTTCCATAAATCCAAATTTCAGGCAGCAAAGCCTCAAAAAAGAAAGGGCCTTGAGGCGACTTGTAAAGAAAAAGAAATCTTTCCCCCAATTTTTTCCCCAGAGAGCAAGGAGAGCCAGAACTGACCAACTTCTCTTGCTATAGGAATAATGTTGAGGGTGCTAAAAGGCTGTGGCTTTAGATTCCTAGGGGCTGTAGGGGGAAATGGTTTGCCCAAGTCTACAAAGAGGATACAGCTCTCCTGACATGCAGCTTCTAACTTAGCTAGCACATACGCAAATCTCTCACCACATTTCCCTGCTATGGAAACATGTCAGGCCTATGAAAATGTCACTTTAATCAGCTGTTATTTACAGCTATAATGAAAGATCTGGCTGAGTTACTTGATATACATCTACATTTTCCACTCTAGTTGATAAGAAATATTTGTTTAACAGACCATTTGTTTTTCCAATATCTTCACATATTACACTTTACAAGTAATTTATACTAGCACCGGATGGAATTTAATTTGAAAGTGATAACAGTGAATGTGATCTTAGGTAGAAAGCAGGGCTTTCTCATTTCAAAGAGTTATCTCCCTCCTGCCTGGAGGCCTGCGTAGGGATGCAGTGGAGGTGAAGCAGCTGGAAAAACCACCCTAGATAATGTCACCCTTTTAGAGTAGATATGTCGTTCCTGTAACTGTTTCCCTATTTGCCTTTATCAGGACTGCCCCCTGAACCAGGATTACCTGCCTGTCCAAAACCATGCAAAGGCAAGCACACCAGTTACGTGTGCACTTACACCACCATGTCTCTACTAATTCCACAGATAACATAGGCACTGAAGATCCATCCACTTGTATTTCATTTTCTCAGCATTTCGGGATCCTTTGGGGCAAAACACACCATGCCAACAGTGGAAGTTTTTATCTCTGGCGCTGAAATGCCAAGGAGTTGCTCACAAAGAGCTGGTGGCTGGGATCCTGCAGCCCACTCTCTGGCACACCAGTTCCTGGGAAAACTTTTGCCAGGCAGCAAGCAGTGCTGTGGCCTCCCCTTTGCAGAGGGCCTTGCTCTGTGTGGGTTTGAACCCCCTTCCTCTGATTGCCAAGACCAAGCCACTAACCACAGCACAAACCCCTGGAACCAGCCAGGGGCAGGCTGACCTGCGGAGGAAGTAGAGCCTGGTGCCTGGATGGGATGTGTGTCACGGTCTGCAGGGGAGGTGAAGCCCTCAGCCAGTCCTCATTCCTTCTCTCTGCATGTGGCCTTTTCCACAGCTGCTGGAATGCAGGTGGGCCGGGAGTCGGGGTTCCTGCATTGTACAAGGGCTACAAGCTGGGTCAGGTTGGGGGTGCTGAGCCTTTTTCCCATCTTTGCTCTCATCATAGGTGTTGGCAGGTCCAGCAGTGATGGAGATCCATGGCAGCATGTCAGGAACAAGATGTTTTTTAATACCACCCATAAATCCATCAGAACTGGTACACACGTGGACCTGGACCTTGTGGTTGGAGCCATGCCAGCAAAGGCTGTGTAGAGGAGCAAGGTACCCTGCTCTCTCCATCCTTTGCACTTGAGATGAAGCTGCCATCTCCTCCCACCACACAAGGCCCATTCTAGCATGACACTGTGGTCAAACACAGCAGCTGAATGTAAGTAGAATACCCTAAGTGGGAGCATTCATCTGATGGAGGAGGCTCTGGGACAGAGTCTTACAGAGGTCAGTGCTCAGTGTGGTGGGGAAATGCACAAATGTTTAGTATTTCAATGAAAAACCTGTGGCAACAGTGTTGGGAAACAAGTCTGCTGCTTCAAGGAAGGCATGATACATAGTTCAGTAGCTGAACACACTCTCATCTCCTTTAATATTAATTGAGTGATGCTAAATGCAACAGTAAGGAGCTCAAAATTGGGTCCTTCTAGCTTATAACCATATGCCAAGACAGAAACAGTGGAGGGGGAAAAAAAAAAAAAAAAAAAAAAAAAACCCTCACCAGATGTAACTCCCTTGATGTGAAATTTAATTCCCAGCTTTTCTAGCAACTGCTTCTTTGTGAGCACTAATAGCAAGACGCACTTTGTGTGCGTGCTCCTTTTGGCCCAGAATTACATGCAAAGCCTAGAGAATTCACAAAAGCAAGTCTTGAGTGCTTAAGAATCAGTTCAGCTGTGTTTCAAAGTTAAAAGGCAAAAGTCACCTTTTATTTTCCTTAGGATATTTGCATTTAAGCACAAAAGAACTGACAAATCCCCCTGCACAGGCTTTATTTGAAGAAAATAAAAGCCAATTTCTCCTGAAATGCAAGTAAAATGCAAAAAAAAAAAGTCTCTAAATGGTGTTGAACTTGTGGTATTTATGACTCTGGCCCTAAATTGCCTTTCATATTTTCTTGGATCCCAAAGCTGTAGCCAAATTGGCTGGTTAAATGTGAATAAATGGGGCATTGTCTTTGAAACAAAGCTGTGCTTATTAAAGAGAAAAGAGTTTACTTTTTCAGAGTCACAGTTAATCACACGAAGCAGGGGGAGCATGGATTTTACACACAAGAAAGCCTTCAATAAGGGCATGCCATCTCATTGCAGTCGGTATGGGAAGGGCAGTCCCAGATCAGAAAGATTCTTCAACATATTTGTAAAGTTAGAGCAAACTAGCTGACTGCAAAAGAACACAACTGGGTTCAGACTGGCGTTTTTGAGGTCTGCAGCAAGGAATAGCATGAAAAGCTTCCCACATACTTGGAATGTTTTTTTCACCTGACAGCAATTTATTGGAACCCTGCATACTAGATTTTTGGCCATTAGTGACTGAGCTTATATGTTTTATAGTACTACAGAAGAATGCAGACTGCATTCCTGGCTCTGTCATGTTTCTAAGCAAAACAAATGCTAATATAATAGGCAACTAAAAAAACCAGCAAGTCTTGGTTTGCAAATAGCTGCAATTATTGGTTTGCCAGTTCTGCATGCTCTGAGGAAGGGCAGAGTAGTAGAGTTAAGCAGCAGTGCAATTGTAGATTGTAACTGCTCATAGATCTCTTAAACAGTAAGATAAAAACTAATTAGACATTGAAATTTAGGAGAGCAAAGCAAGTAGAGTTCTCATATTTTTCTTGCTGCTTTAGTAGTAACATCTGTGAGCACAATATTTGCATGGTGGAAATGAAGTGAAACACTATATAGTGAATTAGAATGAAAATTCCTATTTATTTCATTATTCTGCAGTATGCCAAGCAGCCAGAGTTACAGCACACGGTTCCCCACCACTCCAAATAATGCAATCAAATTGGAAGCAGTTACAAAGCAAGCTCCTCTGAAATGTCTAAAAAGTTAATTTGTGATCAAAATAAATAACTGGAAAAAGTAATTTTGCTAGACATGTCACAACTCTTTGCTATAGTAGTCAGGCACTACAATTTTCAGTTGTGGCAGCCCAAGAGCTGGCATGGGCTTTAGCTATGTTACCTCATCTTCAATAGGTAAGAGCTCTCAGAGGAGGAGTGGTGGCAGGCTCCTGAGGGGAACAGAGGCTGTCATATTCCCACTATGGGGCATTTTGTGGTCCACCAAGACTTCATTCACCTTCCTGTGATATTTTATTTTGCAGATAAACAGCAAATGCCTCAACCTGCCAAACCAGATGCATGTGGGTGCACAAATGTCCCACTGAAATGGCCACATGTACAGAGGCATCTGCAGGTGGGACCCTCTATCTGGAACCTCAAGGGTAGCAGGTTTGAAATTCCATTTTTGCAATTAACACTGCACACCCTAAGCACCTTAGTCTGGTGAGGAGCACTCATTTTGTGTGTGGAGGTTTTGGCCTATTGGGAAATGAAAGGTGGTTTTCAATAACATGCTAAAATAACCTTAATATTTGAGAAAGTAAATGAGGGGTGTGAGAAGTCATTGCAAAAATGTCTCTACCAGGAAAAAGTCTTGGAGTTGTCAGTCAATCCAGAGGTATACAACTATTCCCCAGGGAAAGACTTGTTGCAGACAGTTTTTATTCTGTAGAGAAGCCAATTAACTCTGGAATACACCTACAAGTGTCTTTGATTTGCCTTAGAAAATAAATATGAGTCCCATTGAAGTGCTTTCATCATCCTTTGGAAGCCTCTGCCACCATGGCTTACGCTGTGCATTTTGTGTTTAAAAAGTGGCTTTTATAGCTCAAGGATGGAAATAAACAAAACAGAGCAGAATAGCTGAAATAAATCTACCCAAATCCTGTTCTGCAGTCAACTGTTTCACTGACAGGCTCACTCAAACCCTTCGTACCAGCCCTGGGATCTTGCAAACCAGTGTCCTGTCCCCACTCAGTGCAAGACCCACACAGAGACTCCTGCCACCAAACTGCATTACAGCCAGAGCAGCCACACACAACCTCCCCCAACTGCACCTCCAAAACAACCCCCACCGGGGAAAAATATGGGTGCTGCGCCCTGAATAGCCAGGTGTTTCTCATCCCTAGCTGCAAAGCTCCATCCAGCAACACAGCTTCATCCTCATGGCCAGCAGGCAGCCGTGGGACAGAGGAGCAGAGCTGAATGCGGCTGCAAGCTGGAGCTGGACGGATGCAGCTGTGACCTGCATGTGCTGGGCAGCGCGGTGCCCTGACCAGCTGTGACACCCTCCATCTCTCGAGGTTGGCACCGGAGCATGTCCCAGAGCTGGCTGGGCTCCTGCACCATCAATTCGGATGCACCCAAGCAACTGGCCAACGCGTCTGTGAGTGTCAACCGAACGCTCTGTCCCCAGGCATCCCGAGCCAAGGGCCGTGCCGGGACACCCAGGAGGGACGTGGCTCCAGGGCACTAAGCGCCCCAGCTCTGGCTCTTACCACTTTGCCATCCTTGGCCTCTCGCCGCTGCCCCGGAGGGTCTGCGCTGCCACCGCCGCTGGGTGAGAGGGAGTAGAAAGGGGGGCTGGGGCTGGGGGGCAGCCCCGAGTCCGGGCTGTCCAACAAGCCTTCCCGGCTCTTCTCCTTGAGGCTCTCGTCCATCCCTTGCAGCTGGAGGTGACCGACCATGTCTGGGGGGCAGCGAGGGGGCCGCAGCGGGAGAAAATCCTCCAGC